TATATAAATTTATAGAATTTCTATAGAAAAATTGTTATAGTCAGTTTGCTATAGAAATTCATAGTAGAAATCTCATGTCCCACCTACATCTCTAAAGTGCATGGAGAAACACTAAGTGAAAATAAGTTATACAAACACAGGGCACAAGCTATTTCATTCCAAGTGCCAAAAGAAGGATTATGCAATCCTCAGGGTATACAAAAGTAGAAGTTCAGAGAAAAAAAGGAGGTAAGAGGAAGGAAATAAAAATATTCCACTAGCAGCTGCCCCAGAAAAAGCAGTAGTACCAATGCCATAGATTGTTTATTCATACATTTGACGAGAAGTGGCATTATGCATTCAACTTTCCCCTTTTTCAGTTCCCAGCATCTTGATCTTCCCTTGGGTATTTTGGGGAGGTACAGTTTAGGATCAGAGAATCACAGATCATCAGAACTGAAAGGAATCTTAGAGATCATTTGTCAACTCCCCTCATTTTACTCATGTGAAAACTGAAGCCTAACTATAGATAACTGAGGATAAATTGCTGAATACAAGAGCAAAAAGGAACTCAAATCCAACTCTTATTCCCTCCCTTGCATTTTAACTTTCATAGGAATTGCTCAGAATTGGCCCTCAAACGGCATCAAACGATAAACCATACATAATCCTTACATTTAATACTTCTTGTAAAACACCACCACCACTACTACTACTACTACTACTACTACTACTACTACTACTACTACTACTACTACTACTACTACTACTACTACTACTACTACTACTACTACTACTACTACTACTACTACTACTACTACTACTACTACTACTACTACTACTACTACTACTACTACTACTACTACTACTACTACTACTACTACTACTACTACTACTACTACTACTACTACTACTACTACTACTACTACTACTACTACTACTACTACTACTACTACTACTACTACTACTACTACTACTACTACTACTACTACTACTACTACTACTACTACTACTACTACTACTACTACTACTACTACTACTGACTAGTCAAGCTGTACATTATAGGACTACTGTCAGGTAACAAATCTAAAAGGTAAATTTGAAACATTATTAATATCTTGGTCGAAATACATCACAATACATTTGTTAACGCTAGAAGAGCCTCAGAAATTACATCTGCCTTAGGATTTAAAGTGATGAATGATTCATAATGTCTAAAAGACATTTTTAATGTAGCTGGCAGTCTTTGCCTGTAACACAGTCTCAAGCGTCTGGGTGATTACGAAAGGAAATAATACTAATCTAGTACTTCCCTTTCTCTACTCTCAGAATATCTACAGTACCTATTATCTACTTCATTGTTTCTTAACTTTTTTCAGGTTAGAATCCCTTGGATGCCTTTTTCATTCAAAGATGCCAGCTACAGTCTCCCCAGGAAAATGCACATACTAACACACACAATTTTGCTTACAATTTCAAGAAGTTTAGTTAGAATCAACTGTTCGTACCATTCATCTCAGTTAAAATGTGTTAACTTGTATTGCTATTTATTTCCACCCATGTGTGTCTTGGCTCTACTAGATAAAAAGCTGCTCAAAGTTGGGGATGGATCATAGACTCCTCTATGTATCCACAACCTGAGTGTATTGCTTAGCCCACAGTAGACTCAAATATATGTTAATAATTCACTTTTACTAGAAAGTCATTTCTTTTTGTGTCCACTATGGGTCCAGTGCTGTGCAAGGAAATGAGAGTTAAAAAATAAAAGGACCCTGTCCTCCAGGAACTCACAATCTAATGCAAGAGACAGATAAGTAAACACACGATTACAATAAATGGGGAAAGGAGGGAGATTCTAAAATGTAAAGGAAAATAGATGGAGAAGGGAGCACAGAGGAGAAACTGGTGGGAACTGGTACTCTCAGATTCCTAGGTTTGGCAGGGATGGCAGATTAAGGGATTAGAAAGATGGAAAGCTTCCCATTAATGAATCACGCTTGAGTTAAATCCAACAACAACAAAATGAGTTATAAGTTAATCAGTTAATCGGAAGAGTAAAAATGTAGAGAAGCAAAAAAAAAAAAAAAAAAAAAAGCGTGGACCAGAGAAGTATCCCTTAATTATTTCTCTACTATTGTTACACTCCTATAGTTAATCTAACCCTAGTCCCCAAACACCCTGTGTAAATATTGCATACATACTGCTATTAATTAAATACTTGAGAAACACCTACACAAATATGTAACAAAAAATAAATGTGGCCATTCCATCAAGTTTTTTAAAGTTATATTTGCCATTCTCTAAGGAAGATATACAAATGGCCAACAGTCATATGAAAAAATGCTCAACATCACTCAGCATCCGGGAAATGCAAATCAAAACCACACTGAGATACCACCTCACCCCAGTTAGGATGGCTAAAATCCAAAAGACGCTGAACGATAAATGCTGGCGTGGTTGCGGAGAAAAAGGAACTCTCATACATTGTTGGTGGGAATGCAAAATGGTGCAACCCCTATGGAAAATGGTATGGAGGTTCCTCAAACAGTTGCAGATAGATCTACCATATGACCCAGCTATCCCACTGCTGGGAATATATCAAAGGAATGGAAATCATCAAGTCGAAGCTATACCTGTTTCCCAATGTTCATTGCAGCACTCTTCACAATAGCCAAGAGCTGGAATCAGCCCAAATGTCCATCATCGGATGAGTGGATACGGAAAATGTGGTATATCTACACAATGGAATACTACTCAGCTATAAAAACGAATGAAATACTACCATTTGCAACAACATGGATGGACCTTGAAAGAATAATATTAAGTGAAACGAGTCAGGCAGAGAAAAAGAAATACCACATGTTCTCACTTATTGGTGGGAGCTAAAAAAATAAACAAATTAATTCACCCACAAACACACACAAAA